GTCAGGGGCAGCTGCAGGGAATGCAGGTGCGGAGAGCACCGTCGCAGGCGCCAAGGGCGGGTCCGCGGCGGCTCAAGGGCACCGCCGCGGGCGCCAGGGGCGGGTCCGCGATGGCGCAGTGCACCGCCGCGGGCGCCAGAGGCGGGTCCGCGACGGCTAAGGTCACCGCCGCGGGCGCCAGAGGTGGGTCCGCGACGGCTCAGGGCACCGCCGCAGGCGCCAGAGGCGGGTCCGCGACGGCTAAGGGCACCGCCGCGGACGCCAGAGGCGGGTCCGCGACGGCTAAGAGCGCCGTCGCGGGCGCCAGGGGCGGGTCCGCGACGGGTAGAAAAGAAAGACGTCACGCGCCCGAGGCGCGCGACCAGAAATACAGCAGCAGAAGCATTAGGCGGGCCCACAGGCCTAGTCGTAACGCGCTCTGATAGCATGATAAAATGTACGACAGTTTAAGTGAGTTTTAACTAAGGCCTAGGCTTAGTAGCCTAGGCCCAAATAGGATGTCGAGTGGGTTTTGGCAAGGGTGAGGTTCGAGTGAGTTGAGGAAGAATGAGTTTCACTATAGTTTCGAAGAACATATAGCAAAGGAAACAAGTGAAGAGGTGCACCACCTACAGATTTAAATAACTACACTAACTACAGCTACAGGCAGTTACATAATATAAGTTCTGACATGAGCGCTGTCCCACGCTGTTGTTTTGTGTTGGTGTGCCGGACGAGATGACGATCGGCTCGTCTGATTGTGCAGATGCATTTGTCGATGCGTGTGGTGGCGCTGGAGTGTTCATCGTTGATTGCTGACGCGCGGAGTCACGTTCCGCCGTGAGCGTCGCAATTTCGAGCGCCGAATCTTCGAGTTGGCGCATTAGACGGTCGAGTTGCTCCTTCGTCAATGTGGCGAGCGTGAATTCGGCCATGGCGGGGGTGTCGGGCGAGCTCAGCGAAAGCCTCGGTCGTGGCCGTGCGTGCTTACGAGAGAGGACTACTAGCGGCGGTGCCGTGTCGCTGAGAGACGTCTACCCCCCCCAAAAATTGAGATAGTGGGGAAGCGAAGGTGTGGGTGCGGTCCGAGAGGAGATCGTAGGCTCTGAATACCAAGTGTTACGAGTGCAATTGAGTGAACGAACGAGAATTGCACTATCGAAGCAAGAGTACAATGAGCGAAGGCATGAGCGAAGAATATATAACGAAACTACAGTGGTAACAGTAATGGACTGTGGTTGTCACGTGACGGGCCTGGGACTGAGGTTGGGAAAAAGTGTCGAAGTGGAGGCCCGAAGCGCGGGTTACCCGCCGAGCCGTGAGGTCGGGGTGCGATGTGCGAAGGTGGCGGGCGGATTGTCGATGCGAGGGTTGCGAGTGGTAACGGTGCTGACTCTGGTGCTAGAGTGATGTACGGGTTGAGCAGGGATGCTAAGTAAGGTAAAGGAATTTTCCTTACTATGGAGTACAGTAGAACACAGTTTCAATTCCTTCATAGGAAAATGGATTAGAAAATGAAAACCAGCAAAAATTGCTCATTGCACGGTCTCCCCAATACTGCAGATTGCTCATTAGCAAGCTATTTCACCCACAGGCATTTCAAACACACATTGGTCGTCCTGTTTGTCATGGTGCTACACCCACGAGAAGTGGGTCGAGAAGTGGGTTGGGAGGAAGTAGAAGCTTAGGCCTTGCAAAACAGGAAGCCAAGAGGTCCTTTGCATGGATTGCAACCCAAGTTGACCTTGACAATTTCACTGCCACAGCAAGGAAAAAAACAAGCAGTTGCCACTACCACTGGTAAGTTACGATAACAGATTTGACGCAGAATTGATTGAAAAAGAGGATGAAGAAACGAAATACCAACACACTGACCTGTGCGTGCAACAAATATCGTGTGACTTACTCGTGGTCGTGCTCGACACTTGTGTCGTACGCTGTAGTCTTGACAACAAACATTAGCGTGTTCTTCCCCTTGGGCTTGATAGTTACGGACCCTCCATCCCCTACCTTCCGCTGAAACCTGAAGAGGGGAACGAAGAGACAATTGTTAGTTTTGCGATTTCAGGTGACGTTCAGAGCCTGAAAACTCACATTAATCGCACGTCACATTTGAGTTCGTTTGAGCCTCATAGTTCACCGCGACTCAGTTTGAAAAATGATTGTCTGTATTTGAAACGAACGGCTGAGAGTCGTCCGAGTTGAGATTTGCATCTGGAAGAAATGCATCAGAGCGCAGCTTACTTGAGAGACGACGGGCCGCCGCTTTTCTGCTTGAGTGTCAGCACGTCAGGACTCCACGAAGCGTCCGCGACTCCGGTCATCGACGCCCCCGTGAGCGCCAAAACCTTGGGGGTTGAGGAATCGCTCGAGACCGCGAAAGCGTCGCCCGTCATTTCGCCGTCGTCGGAAAACCCGACGCCGTACCATCCCTTGCTGCGAAATCCGTTGCCTTTCAGGAGGAAATTTACGGTGGTGGAATCGACGACCTTCCAATGGAGGCTTACGCTGTCAAAACATAAAAGACAGGAGACATTGTGCAAAAGACGTCTTGTCAACACGTCGTCATCATCAGAGGAACTCGATATGAATAACTGGAACAAATACGTCAGTTTAACTGGCTGTTGGAACGAGGATCAAACGCTTACCCTTTGATTGGGGAGATCGCTGAAGTGTACCCTTTGACCGACGAGAAAGAGCATCCCTGAATCAGCGCCGGAAGCGACACCAACACAAAGAGGACGGCGACAACACGCATTGTAGTAGTCGTTGTCGCCGTCTCGAAATTCCGCAAGCAAGTCATTGTGAAGACTTCTTCGAAAAGAAGGAGCCTTCGATTTGCACAGCAGACGGGGTGGACGCTGCTTCGCGTCGGAAGTGTTAATTGCGAGGTGAGGAGAGATGGGCTTCTGGTGAGAGTGGCGGCGGGGCTTGGAAGTGGTCGGGGTGGGTTGTGGCAAGGTGGTGGAGCGTGGGGGGCTCGATGAGTGTGATGGGAGGAATGCAATGAGCACGGGGGAACTGGTGAAATACTCCATAACCCGCCAGGTTGTAGTAAACCAGGCAGGGCACGCCATGCTTGGGAAAGGCCGGGCTAGATCTGGGAGGCTGGTCTGGGAAGTGACCAAGTGCGGCAGCGGGCGCCGCACCAGACCATACCAGCTGGTCTGGAAAGGTTTCTTGACATGTTGCAGATAACGGAGCAGGCTTGGTTATACAGTTCCGTATGCCCAACAAAGCTTTTGATTTGACCTGAAACTTGTGAAAGTTTTTTGACAAGGAAACATGGCCTTCTCTGGTGTGCCTCAATTCCACTTCACACGCATTGTCGAGAACAATTGGACTTTCAGACAGCTACGACTGCAGTCATGTACACCCCCATGTGTTGTATCCAAAAACGAATACTTCCAGACGACACATGGGGGTGGGTAGTGAGGCTTTTCTGAGCTGAGCTACGGGAAGTCAAACTGAGGCTTGGGTCCGTCAAACTAGAAGAGGTGGTTTGGTTACCCTGGCGGGCTGAGCGAGTGCCCAAACCACGCCTAGTACACACCACCAAAACGCAGCCACCACGGCCGAATTTTAGTTTCTAGTTACATCATTGTAGCGGGCTGGAGTTGATGTGGTCAAAAGCGCAGATGAAAAAAGTAAATCATTTCATTTGGGAGCCACAGAGTAACCAACTGTGATTTATTCAATTTTCGAATCATTTTTCTTGGGAGAAAGAAGCACTATCTGTACCCGTTTCTGCTGGGAAATTCCACAAGCTTTGGAATTGAGAGCTGGGTGGGTTGTGTGTTGTGGGTTGGTTTGGGAGCCACAGAGTGCGACTCGCCACAAGCCGTACAAAGATGTGGAACGCTTATCACATGGACACACGTGGACCTAATGATGGCTGCCAAAAGTCCTTCGCGCTGGATATCCATAAGGTATGTGATACGGCGTTCGGTCCGTCGATTTCGTCTATCACTCAAAAGGTCCTTCAACAAACGGCCTTGATCTCCTAGAACGGGCAAATCAGAACGTCGCACAACGATAATGGATGCACCAACCGACCTAGTTCACTCCACAAATGAAAACCTCGGTATTGAGAGACGGCACAGCCTTAGGTTGGATCTTTGCAGTCGAGTTTGTTGCAGTGCACAATCCATAAAACAGCTCCGTAAATGTTAGTTGGCTATAAAAAACACTAGGTAATCGAAACTCTTTTGACTAGAAGGGTGATGCTACAATTTCTACAGGAGAGGCTAATGTGGAGAGATGTCTATAAATGCACCAAGTACCCATCACCAGTGGCAGAACGAGTCAATCTTCTGAGCCTGGTTTGTGAATTTACTCCCATACATTACATCGGTTTAGCCGCTGTCAAAGCTATGACTGTATACGAACGACTGCCGACATTGTGCAGCTGCTGTTCTCCTTGTAACCAGTGCGCCTATCAACGACCTGCTTAGTTAAACGTATTGCAAAGCATCTTGCGGACGACGCCCGAGCAGCCATTGCAGGAGAGATCAATGACGGCATGGCCACTGCACGTGAATGGGAGGGAGGGAAGGGAGGGAGGTAATTGAGAAGGGGCAAGGGGAACAGAGGGACGAGATGGAGGAGAGAGATTGGAACGTCAGATTGTAGAGAAAGGAGGTAGGAGCCGCAGTCTTAGTACAGCCTGGAACGTCAGAGATATTCGGAAACTTAGCAATTCAAGGATTTATCAGGGCTTGCAAGGGGGTGCACGTACCAATTGGCGTGGCTGTTGGGTTCCAACCAAGTGGTCTTTGCGAAGACCATGCGACTAGCCTAGAAACTCAGAGAATTCTAGAAATCTATCAGGGGCTAAAAAGGGGTGCATCCCGACAACGTGGTCTTTGCGAAGGCCATGTGACTCGGCTCGAACTTCAGAGATAATTTTAGAAATCTATCAAGGGCTTGAAAGAGGTGCACGTACGAGTAGGCGTGGCGGGTGGATCCCGACCACGTGGTTTTGGCGAAGGCCCACGTGATGTAGTTGTTGCCCGAGGGGTTCAGCGCCACCACCCCGCCGTCCGACGTGGTGCGAGTGAACCTGCGCACGAACGAAATAGGTTGATCAGGTTACAGACAAGTTAACGACAGCCTGCGTGACGTAGTTGTTGCCTGATTCCAACCACGCGTCGTTCGCACTGCTGTGACGGGCAAGCAGCTGCTACAAGAAATCACTTATACATCATTTAGCGAGTGCTGCTTAGCTCTCGTGCTGCCAGTCTCGGTAGTAAGGTTACTTGCTCAATGGAGGTACCCGTGCCGATCATGATAGTAAGCGATACTTACTACCCAGTCGCGTCCGTTACGTCAGTCGCGCTGCTCTGGCCGTCGAGCGTCTGCAGCTTGAATATGTGTTTACTTGGGACGTTGCCTAAAGGTTTCTGGTAATTTCTCCGACTTACTCGATGGTGGTACCCGAGGGTTTCTTGATGATCTTCAGTCCCGTCGGCGCCCACCCAGTCGCGTCGGTCACGCTGCTGTGGCCGTCGAGCGTCAGCAGCCTGGGCGCGCCGGCGCGCATGCTCTCCGCGATGATCGCATCGCCATTCATCTTGCCGTCCTTGGAAAAGCCGACGCCGAACCACCCCTTGCCCGTCCCGGGGCCCTTAGTCATGTGAAACGCGAATTTGATCGTGTCGCTGTCGACCTTCCTCCAATGTAGATGCACGCTGGTAGTAGGGTCGGGTGGAGTGGATGGGGATGGCACGGGAAGGAGTGGATGGGGATGGCACGGGAAGGAGTGGATGGTGGGAAAGGGGAGGAGAGAGAAGCGAGAGTCTGGCGAGGAAGGACGAAGAGGAGGGAAACACGGGAAGCATTCTGCAAGAGATTATTGAAATGTCAAGTGAGTTGCTTGTGGATGCTAAGTCGATTTTTGCGTCGACTCAGAAATCGACTTATCACTTGTGGAAGCTTTGCGTGTGGATCGAGTGGAGGAGACACGTCTTTGCATATTTACGACAAGGAAAGGCGCTTACTTGGGATAGACGAGGAACGATGACGTGTAGTCGCCCAGGCTGGACCACCCGCACTTGCGCAGTATCTGGCCTGGCACGAAGGGTTTCTTCACCACCTTCCCGGCACTCGCGCCGTGAGAGGCGGCGAGGACGACGATCGCGAAAAGGAGGAGAGGGAGTGCGCGTGATGCGCTTCGACGAGCCATATCGGACCGGAAGCGGGAGCGGGATCGGAAGACGGAGAGCGGGCGTGGGAGAGCGAGCCGCAAGGGCAGTGAGAAGGCGTTTAAATATTCACGGATCCGGGAGAAAAACTAGTGACCGGGTTATGATTAGAATCAAAACACGCCCAGACTAGTAGTGTCGGTTGGTGATTTCGATGGCGTAGAAAGGATGTGTGCGGAGTGGAGACGGTAAGCGTAGTCGCGTGACTAAGGATGTAGGGAAAGGTGGTTTATATAGTTGACTGTGGCACGAGAGGCGCTGCGGGCTTGATATCCACCGACAGCAGCGGGGTCGAGTGATAATGCATTGAAATGCCACGCTGAGATGGACGGCGGGCGCGCCCGCCAAAATTATAAGCCATCTAAAGGCGATGTCTTGCTCAGCTATCTGGTACTCGTGCGACTGTACGATAGTCACGTAAGTGCCAGCTGTAACTTCCGTGTGTTGTGGTGTGTGTGTGCAGTGCACGATGCCTTGGTGTCAAAAGTGCTAGGGTGAGGACAACTAGGAAAGGCTGAAATGTCGGGAGGGATGAATGTTGAGGATGAAATGTCGTGAAATGCGTGCCTCGGAAAATATTGTCGAGTCGCGATGCTGAGCACGAGCATTTTATGCGATTGGTTGATCAGCGAGACTTCCGTGAAGTGTGATGTGCGTGTGTAGATTTGCTCCTGCCTAGGGAATGCCATGCGCGAGGCATTGGCAGCAGGTGACGCAACGGTTCTCGTCTGGTGATGGTGATGGCAAATACCCGCTATGCAACAATGAGACGACAATCGTTATCCTCATAAGATGTTCAGTTGTTTCACATTTTCGCCTTACATAAACATTGAACGAAATACCAGACCACTGGTACTAAACGTATTGATGTTTGTTCAACATGGCGTGTTTCATCATCCTGTACATGATAAATTTAGCGTGTATTCATCGTTAGATGCCTTTAAATAGACTTTTGATCGGACAAACAATGCATAGAATGCGATGATACTTGGACACATATAATGCTGGTTGAGCCGTTAGGTTATTCCAAGACCCCCTATGCTTTGCCTTCGCTGGCACCCAGAAAATCTCCAACGGCACCCAGGTCCTCACAAGCTGATCGGTAATGAATGCCCCCTCACCTTGCAATCAGCATCGCATCACAAAGCATGGCAACAACACATCACATGGCATGACAATCCAAACCCACAGGGCATGCTGCAGTGTGGAAGCTGATATCTACAAAACACTTTGCTTGGGCAATACAGGCAGAAAATACTACGGTACCAGTATGAAATGTTTATTTAACCCTGAGAAACATTAGGAAACTAGGCTTGCCGATTATAAAAAGCAGTGACAGAATGGAAGGCCCAGATTATCTAGCCGGAGTATCGTTGCAACGCTTTGCTTCGAACTGGTACAATCCGACTCATGATACGAACAAGTCGCACACATCTCTGTCAAATGTTGTAGCCTGTAGTGAGGTTTGTCTTAGGGGGTACAGAAGTTAGGGTTTGTTATATGTACCCCAACCAACATCAATGGAACATTCATTCCTCATTCTGACATGGTATCAGCTAGGTTAGGATCCTGTGGGATCCCGTTCCTCCGTTCTCCGTTCGTACCTCCCGAGCCTGATCCTACCTCTCGTTCGTACCAGTTTCGTTGTTACCGCGCCTAGTACCGAGCCTAGCGCCATCTCCCCCGTCGCGTCACGCCCGTTCCCCCCCGTCGCGTCGCGCCCGTTCCCCCCGTCGCGTCGCGCCCGTTCCCCCCGTCGCGTCGCGCCCGTTCCCCCCGTCGCGTCGCGCCCGTTCCCCCCCGTCGCGTCGCGCCCGTTCCCCCCGTCGCGTCGCGCCCGCCTGTTACCCCCCCCGTCCCGTCGCCCTGTCCCGTCGCGTCGCCCTGCCCTGTCCCGTCGCCCTGTCCCGTCGCGTCGCCCTGCCCTGTCCCGTCGCCCTGTCCCGTCGCGTCGCCCTACCCCGTCGCGTCGCCCTGCCCTGTCCCGTCGCCCTGCTCCGTCGCGCCGCCCTGCCCCGTTGCGTCGCCCTGTCCCGTCGCGTCGCCCTGCCCCGTCGCGTCGCTCCCGCCCTTTCCCCCATCGCGTCGCCCTCCCTAGGCCCTGGCCCGTCGCCCTCCCTAGGCCCTGGCCCGTCGCCCTCCCTAGGCCCTGGCCCGTCGCCCTCCCTAGGCCCTGGCCCGTCGCCCTCCCTAGGCCCTGGCCCGTCGCCCTCCCTAGGCTCTGGCCCGTCGCCCTACCCTAGGCCCTGGCCCGTTGCCCTACCCTACGTCTTGGCCCGTCGCCCTAGCCCGCTCTTCCGCTGCAACTGAGTCCTCTTCCCCCCCGGTTGTTACTCGCCTGTTCGTTCGCGTTGGTTCTCACTATGGCGACTCCGCGAGTTCTTCGTTTCGACGCCGACGGTAGACCCCTTGACTTTTCCGTCTGGCTTCTTCGCGCTCGTCGTCTGTTAGAGAGTCAGGTCCAGGGGGGCGAGACCCTCTGGTCACACGCTACTGGTGACCTCCCCGAGCCCCCCGAGCCTACAGCTTTAGGCCCTGCTCCTGACGACGCTGCTACGGCTCGCTTTGCCCGTCAGCGCGCTGACCGGACGGCTTGGACGTCGCGTGACGCTGCGGCCTGCATCGCACTCAGCAGCCTCCTCCCTGAGTCCGAGGAGGTCCACTTTACTCAGGTTCGCACCGCTGCTGCGTACCTCACTGCGATTAAGGCCCGCTACTCTACTCCCGCTACTGTCTCTCTCGGCCGTCTTTTCCTCCCGTTCCTGTTTCTTGATCTTGCCTCGTTTGAGCGCTCTGCTGACTTGATCGCTCACCTCCGCTCGCTCGACGCTAGTTACCGCGCTGCTTGCACTGAGGCACAGCTTGCACTGCTTCCTCCCCCCATGGCGATTACTGTCTATTTCATCGCCACTAGCCTCCCTGACCGCCTTGCCTCCGTTCGTGACGCGCTTCTGCTGAAGCACCCTAGTGAGCTGACTATCGAGGTCCTTGAGTCTGCACTCAAGGACGTCGAGAGCAACCTTCGTTCGGTAGCTGCCGCCTCTGGTACTGTGTCCCCCCCACTCTTCCACGGGTGCACAGTCCCGCAGTTACCCACCTTCACTGCCTCTCTTGCCACTGCCGCCACTGACGCGACTGCGGCTGCTGTTGCGACTGCGTCGCGGTCCCGCGGCAGGGGGGGCAAGAAAGGTGGTTCCGGTGGAGGTGGAGGCGGAGGTAGCGGAGGTAGTGGGGGTGCTGTTGCGACTGGCGGTGGTGGGAGTGCAGCGTCTGGAGAGACCCCTCGTGCAGCGGCTGGTGACTCCACTGCACCTGCTGGTGGCGGCGACCCTCGAGCTCGTCAGTCGCCTCCTGTACTGCCGGCCCCGCTAGGTGGAGCAGCGGCGTGGTACCAGGCTCAGCGTCAGCAGCACCTTCAGCAGCAGCAGCAGCCCCTTTCCTCCCAGCAGCCTCAGCAGCAGCAGCGTCAGCAGCTGGCTCCGGGGTCGGGGCTGCGTCAGCCCCAGCGCGGTGCTGCTTACCCTCCCTGCCCCTACCAGGTTCAGACAGGTCCTCGTCGGGGCCACCCTTGTGGCCGCTTTCACCCCCCTGGTCAGTGCTTTGCTCAGCTCACTGACACGGTCCGGTTGACCTACGGGGTTGGCGGTCCTGCTCCTGACTGGCTTCCTCTGGTTCAGCGCTACTGCTCCGCTCTGTGGGGCATGTCTGCTGAGCAGTTAGTTGATCTGATTAGTGCTCCTCATGCTATGTATGCTGTTGTTGACTCTAGTGTTTCTGACTCTGTTTACTCTGGTGTTGTTAGCTTAGGTGCTAGTCTTGCTCAGTTGCCTGTTGCTAGTGTAGGTACTTGTGTAGACTCTAGACCAGCGACTACCTCAGAGGACGCTTCGCTGTCGTTCACACTGGACTCTGGAGCCTCCCACTGCTTCTTTCGGGACAGCACGACACTTACACCACTTCCTGCGCCTGTTTCTGTAGCGTTGGCTGATCCCACTACGGGACCAGTCACTGCACGTCACACTACCACTTTACCGTGTCCTGCTGCTCCCTCCGGGTCTCTCACTGGGTTTCACGTCCCCTCGTTCTCCCGGAACTTGGTGGGCGCGCGACCCCTCGTGAGTCAGCACGTGGGTGTGTGGTTTGAGCCTTCTGGAGAGACTGCGGTGTGTGTTGACGGAGACTCTTACCAGCCTCTTGCTACCTTTACTGCTGAGCCGGGCTCGGGTCTCTACACTCTTCACACTGGCCCGCGTGCGCCGCAGCAGCAGCCGCAGCAGCAGCCGCAGCCACAGCAGCAGCAGCAACAGCGGCCGCACCAGCAGCCCCCCCTACTGCCACTGCCCCCGGTTCCCCCCCCCGTTCGGGTCCCCGCGTCTCACCAGGTTGCTACGTCCCCCCAGGTGTCTGTGTCGTGTCAGGTTCCTACGTCTGT